TTAAATAAGGTGTGTAACTGTTTTACATATTTTAGAAGACTAGTTTAGAAATAATTTTGAGAACAATATGATACTATCATAAATTTTATAGTATCGATGTATAGCTAAAATTTGATACTTATTCATGCACCTTCTAAAGTTTGATAACTTTTCTAGAAAATAATTCACCGCTACGAATTTCAAGTCTGTCATATAAATTAAAAATAAGTCATATTTTCCATATTTTTATTTCTTTGTTCTAATTTAATTTAACAAAGTTTATGAAAATAAAACTTGACAATTTTTTTTTTAAAATAAAATATATTTAATTAGATATTATATAAATCAGAAGACTTGTTTAATTCTCAATTTGACATTTATCGCACGTGATGCTCACGTGGATCCTTCTCTGTTCCGACACTTTGTCCCCACTCCCCTCTGCTACCCCATCCCCTTATAGCTTGTTCGGAGGGTTATTATCGTGGTTATTTGTTTAAATATAATATTTATTTTAAGTATTAAATAAATATTAAAATTTATCTCATTTCATATAACGATAAATTTAATGTGATTGCATGATTGTTCTTTCTCCCATCGTTTGGTCTAGATTTGTATTTTAATTTTTTTTAATTGATTTGTATTTTAAATTAGAAAGAAGTATTGAAAGTATCCTTAAATTAGGTGTGAATTATTAGTTTTATTCTCGAATTATTGACATCCTTAAAAACATTCATTTACGTGATTAATTGAACATAAATATACTCCTGATCTTGCAACATGAGTGAAATATACTTTTAAATTCTTTTCAAACTTGGGAGTATTTTCAACATTTCTCTGGCTTTTTATTAAGAGTCTCGTTTTCCTATAAGAGTTTGAAATCGCTTGATATGTCATGTGACAGATCGGGATATATCTTAGTTTCGTTAGTAAAGTAGATGGGCGTTTTTAAGATTATCAATAGTTTAAAAATGAAATAAATAATTTACGCCAAGTTCGAGATGTTTTCAATACTTTTCTCTTTGAATTATTGATATGGTGAGGCGAAGTCAGGTATGATCAAATGGTTCATCCGCCTTCTCTCCAATGCAAAATTATATCGTTTATATATCATAAATATTAACCTCCCTTCAATTTCTTGTGTATGTATACTTCTTCATATTTTGAACGTTTTAGTGGAAAATGTTTGTCTCCATTATTTATCCAATAAATTACTTTCTTTGTTCATTATTGATGTTCACTCTCGAAATTTGAAAAATGTCACATAAATTGAGACACGGAGACTCGGAATAGTAATATGTAACCGGCATCCAAACAGAGTGTATACACAGCTTGACTCACCCAGAAATTCTGCAGTTTTCTGTCACTGAGAAAAACCCAAAATCCTCCTCCCTCTCTCATTCATTCATCAACAAGCTTTTTTTTTCCTTCTTCAATGGCTGCTTTAGCTAGACCCACCATCATTAATGACCTTCCTGATGTAATCCTTTCTAACATAATCGCCGCCGTCTCCGACGTCCGCAGCCGGAACGCCGCCGCACTCGTCTGCCGGAAATGGCTCGTCCTTGAACGTTCCACGCGCTC